AGTTTGATTCTGAACTTAACAACGGCAGCAAGATTGTTGGTGGCGGAGTACTGGAAGAAGGAAGAATTGCCTACTATTCAAGAATGGACGTTCAAAGTAGTAAACTTAGCAGAGATGGCCAAAATCTCAGCATATTTGAAGGACTATTCAGATGAGAAATACAAGCTAGAATGGAGAAGATGGATTGACTATATTCAAAATAAATATTGGACTAAAGAATTTCAATTAGCTTATGAATGAATGAACAAGGAATGTTACAATTTACCTAAAGTTAGCTTAATAAAAGGGGAGTTAAAATACAAGAGAAGGTAGGATGCTAATGTTAGTTAGCTTATGTTAGTGCATGATTGTTAAATGTTTATACCCTGTATTTTGCTCTGGGAGGTTGGGGAGAGGGAGGGTTGGGGTGGAGGGAGGGAAGGGGAAATATCTGTAAAATCTATTAAAACTCTTTAATAATAATAATAAAAAAGAAATTAGAGACTCCCCAAAGCAAAACCATATTCATGGCAAAACTGGAAGATCAGACTCAAGACCAAGATAAAGAGATTAAGATCAGATGCAAGTAATTTAAAGAACAAGAAAGAGCAAAAATTATGTAAGAGTCAAGGTAATCCTAATAAAAAAACATCGTTTCGGTCCAGAATGATTGAAAAAAGCTTCGGAAATCATAAAGCAATAAATAACAGCATTAGCTGGGAAAATTAACTCCCAATTTAAGCAAAACCAGCTATTTCAAATCAGATCAAAGGTGATCCTACCAAAGTAAAAAATATAATAAAAATTCTGAAAATGGGAAGCCAAACAAAAAGAAAATCATTCACTTTTGGACAGCTCTATGAGAAATTCAATAAATGTATAATAAAAAAATGCTGGATGGATTTTAAAAAGTCAAATGGAAGAAGTAGTAATTATAGCAGAAATGGTTAGAAATTTGTGTGAAAAGGATTAAGGATTGGACAATTCCTGAAAACAAGCAGTTGGCTTTTGGCTCAAATGTCTGACTAGTTTATATTCAATTATAACTTGATGAAGTTGATGAAGTATTGCATAAAGGAGACATTAGTGAATGGTTAATAACAGGGAAAACATATCTGATTCAAAAAGACATGAGAGATGACCAGGAAACTATAGACTGATGCTCTGCTCACCTACAATGCTTAAATTATTCACGGGCATTATAGTGAACGACAGCTAAGATTATTTAGGAAAGAATAATAGCCTTCCAGAAGGAAATAAAAGAAAAAGCAGGGATAGAAAATGTTAACTTTTGACTGATAAAAAAGGTGAATTGCAGAAGCTAAAAAACCATATTGTATAGATTGATTATAAAAAGGGATTGATTCATTATCACTTAGTTGGATCATCAAAATGTTTGGAAACAACAAAAAACGTCAGTTAAAAAAAATTAGAATGTTTACCATTTAGAAAATTGCGCTGGTTTTCCAAGATTTGGTTGATTTCATGGATCCACATTTGACGTACTCCTGGACTGGTGGAATGCAAAACGAAGCACTCCATGACATCACCTGCTCTTGATGTTAGTGCAAATTTACACGGATCGTTGTCTACATTCTCCTCCAAGCAAAGGCAACTCACCTTTATTGAGACAGAAAACAAGAAGTTTAGAGTGATTTTCACCTTCATGTTATTTTTTTTAATTATATCAGTGACGTGCAGTGAGGTTTATGGCCGGTGAGGCAAGCGGGCAAAAGCCGACCTGTGTCTGCCAGCGCTAGGGCTTCGGCTTTAAAGTCCCGGCGCCACGCCAGGCATAGAGCAGGACGAGCGGCACGGCTTTAAAAAATAAAAAATAAAGTGCCAGCCCGTGCGCCAGCAGAGGCAGGTAAAACAAACAAATTACAATTACTTACAAATTACAATTATTTTGAATTCCTCCCCCCTTCCTCCGACCCACATACCTTTTCCAGCTGTTTCACAGAGGATTTCAACTCTCCTCTTGTCTCCCATGATGAAAATGTAAAAAATTGTAAAAAGAAAAAGGCAAGAGCTGCTGGTCAGGCTGGATTAGCTGCTGCCAGAGCCTCCAATGGACGACTCTGCTTAACTGTTTAAAAAAGGCCTCTAAAAAAATACGCCCTCTACAGGAGGAGGCGAGAGAACCACGTGCCTCATCTACATAAGGAATTTTTCG